TTTTCCAGCCTCAACAGTTCTGTGATTCTGAAAAAGCAAGGGAAGTAAGCAAAGGGGATTAATTGGTTTTGCGAATCTAGGACTGTTCTTGAAAAGGTCCCAGTACTCACTAGCTCCTTTATCTTCCATAGAAGCTTCTCGCGGAATCCCTTCAAGCTGAAACCTGAGTGAGCTGAAGTTTGCTCCTCTAAAGTCTAGAACCTTTGTTTTGGAACTAACCTTCAGCGTGCTCAGCAGTATCTCAAACTCCATGCTACTGTGATCACTGCAACTGAGGCTGTCACTAACCAAAATATTACAGACATATTTGCTTGGTTAGTGAGCAGCAAATTCAGCAGCACCCCATCCCTGGATGGCACATCCAACATTTGTATGAGGAAGGAAGTCCTCTAAGCATTCCAGCAACTTGATGGATGACAAGTGAACTGCTGTGTTGTTCTTCCAGCAAATGTCTGGGTAGTTGATGCAAGCTTGCTTAATTGATCCAAGTATTGCTTCATTGGTTTCGTTGTCTTGATTTGGGAGTCAGTAATAGATGCCTACTCTAAGGTCTCCCTTGGAGACAACCCCTCTGATTTTGACCCAGAGGCAAAGAGAGACTCTCCAGTTCTGTATTAATGATAGTGAGGACACTGAGTGAGGGCTGTGCATTGGGATCCATTTGTGAAATGCTGGCTTTCTTACAGACTTCTAGAGTCCCTGTTACCTGCAGCTTCACAAAGTTGACTTTGATCTATTTCAGCCACAGTCCTTGAGGATCTTTTTAGTAGGGGATGATAATATCCCGCCTCAGAAATGAACTGTGGAGGAGTCCCATATCCCAGTAGCGGAATCTGTGAAAACTGGTTTGTGCTGTCTTTGTCAATGTGATCGTTGCTTTAGGATTGTACAGACATTTGACTAACTACATTTTATTTGGCTGTGATGAAGAATAAAATTGTTCTTGCAGTAGTTAGTAATAAAATGCCTGGATAGCTGGAAAATGGGCATTGACTGCAGCTTAAATGTGGAAGTATGTGGACTAAGAGAATATTATAAGCAAAATTAAAGTAACAAAATAACTATTATCAGCAACTGTTCCTGTGTGCAATCTCCTACAGTAACAGATTACTTTGAGGTGATATGAGAGGCCAAAAGAAATACAAACTGAGCATTACCACTGCAACCTTATATTTTGTCAGGGTCCTGAGGGCACCCATGGGCCTTAATAGCACTGCCCAGCTTGCCCTGGGACCCCCACTCTCTCCCTGCACATCGCCCGGGAGCTGCATTTCAGCTCAGCCTGGGTCTGTCAGTCCAGGGCCCAGTGGCTGGGGCTGCCCCAACTGCCTGGCCCCCGGCCCCAGCAATGTCCTGATGTTTGTCAAGCAGTGACCAAGCCCAGTGCCATTAATTCCAGATGTATCTTACAGCCATGCTTATATAGCATCAGAAGCTTACTACTTAGACTTGAATTTTCATACCGGATACCTTTGTAAGTCACTCAGGGAAAAGAGCTATAATCCAAGAAGTTACCTGTGAACAATTTCTGTAATTTTAGCTAGGTTGCAATTCCTTGCTCTTCTTTATTGACTGAAAGAATGGTTAACCTTTAAATTTACTTTATACTTTCCATGTTTCCCTTCTATTCACTTTGAACAAATGAAGCATCTCTTGCACTACATTTCATTGTCTTTTTTATGGTGATAAGAGAAACACAGATGAAAGAGACAACTGCAGGGTCTCCTAAAAAGTCCTGCTGCTGAAGTACTGAAAAGCTGAGGGCTTGCAGTCTTTTGTGGGATGAGGCCTTGCCTGGAAAGCAGCTGTACAATGTGGGCAGGGAGGAGATTCTGGCAGGAAAAGCTAAATGTGTTAGGGGATTTATATTTTTATGTTTGACCTGAAATATTGTAGAATTAATGGCCTTGGCCCCAGCGGCTCATGCCTTGTGCTGCAAATTTCTACATAGTTTGATAAAAATGGCAAGTGTATGTCTTGAATATAATCATCTGGGAAAATAGACAGTATGATAAAAAAGCAAAATATTATCTCTCAGAGTTAAAGAAAGGTTATAACTCAAGCCATGCAGGTCCCTTAAGATTCTCTCAAGCCTTTGGACAACTGAAGACTGTGAGTGTGGCACAGGAAAGGGTGAACTTGTTTGGGTTTTCCTCATATTGAAACTAAGGTTTCAGTGCTTCATTTTGATGCTTCTGGAATTCAGCTGAAAAGGAGATGTTGGATACTTTTGAGAAATTTGCATGTTATGTAAAATATCATAAAATTTTATCAGGTGACGAGGGAGTGTCAGAGTTGATGCTTGATTGCTGCCCTAGTGTTCAAGATGAATTGTATGTTTTAGGATATTATTTAATTTTCATATCCTAGGTATAAAGTCACAATCACCATCTTTTTGGGCTGTACCTGTATTTTGTCAGAGATTTAAGCTTCAAATCACATTGACACTATACTGAACTCGCTTGTTCAAAAAGCTGTTTTATCTTACTCTAGTTGTGTATTGCAGGGGTGTTCCTTCTTCTGGGTTTAGAGGCAGATTTTTTGCAGGCAAAATGAGGAATGAGTCTGATTAAAAGCCGATGCTGTTTTGAGAAATGTGTTTTGGAGCACATGAGATTGGAGTGAAATGACAAACTTACAAATGTTTCACTTGCCCATGCAAACACTGTCTTGCTTTGTGAGTGTTGAAGAGCAGGGTTTTGCTCTCTGTTTGCAGGCGAGCAGCAAGCATGAACTCGGCAACGTGCGGCCATGAGTGCTAGGACCCTGTGATCTGAATGGCATCTTGATCTGACTTCCCAGTGGCGAGACACTGTTGATCCTGTACCATGGAGGACTGCCTTCACACCTCCTCTGAAAACCTCTCCAAGCTGGTGAGCTGGGCCCACAGCCACGGGACCATCTGCAGCCTCATCCCCAACCTCAAGCACCTGCTCTCCGAGGGGGCCCACGGCAACCTGACAGCCATGTGGGGCTGTAGCGCCGGCCATGCCTACCACTGGCCCCTTTTTTTCCGGGGAGCGTGTTTGCTCCCAGGCCGGCCGCAGCTTCAACTCGGACAGCCCCAGCATGCTGGGCGTCCCCTCAGAGGCACAGGCCAGCCCCCTGGAGCGCTACCATGGCAGGCCGGGGAAGGCCAAGCTGGACTGCACCCGCACTCGTGACTCCTGTGACTTCTCCTACTGCAGTGAACCATCGGAGCTGGGTGAGCCCGTGGAGGAGTATGAGGATGAGGCCACCCTCTTTGACATGGTTTGCGAGTCTTCTGTCACTGATGAGGACAGCGACTTTGAGCCACATCCCCACCGGGTCCCCTCCGGCCCTCGCAAGCGG